GTGGTAGGCACGGGTGTGTGCTGGATACCATATAGCAATGGTTTGTTGCAGCCTTTTCTAGTGAATGAGTTCTGGACGTGGTCCCGGGGATGTAGGAAACGAACCTCGTTAACAAATCTCTGTGTCTATTTTCTTTATGCTCTTACATACTTGCATCACACTCGATCATATAGGTTTAGCCACATACCATGTTTTAACACAGTGATTTGATTAAGAATTCATTAATGTTTTTACGTTAGGAGGTTTGTGTTTCTAATGAGTGGCTCTGGACAAGCTTACTAACATGTCTGTCCTCTCCCCCAGCTTTTAGCAAAGCTGTTTCTGAACTAGTTATTTATTATTGTTTTATTTTATTCTCCACGCAGATGAATCTTCAGATAATAAACAGGAGATAACTAGACAGGCTTCTTGCATTGAAAGCAATGAATCTCCCTGGTCTTGCGCACTATGTGATTTTTCTGCCCAAAGCTTTGATGATTTCACCACGCATCTCAAGAGCAAAGAACATGCACATATTGTAAGCATCGTTGATGCCATTCTCTTACCATATATGTTTCCTTTTTTAACCTCTAATTCTCGCTCTATGTGCATTTGGTTGCCAAGCAGGATTTGGACTTGCCAGTTAGCACTCCGAAACATCACCCTAAACTGGTTCACCTTGCTAAAATCGTCAAGTGACAATTAAAGGTAAGATTTCTATTTTGCAGTAGCATTTAAATAGGTCCCGGATGTGAAAATATATAGCAGCATCACTTTGGATTTACTGATTTTGGTTGATGTTTAAACGTTGAAGGAAAAGTGCATGTCGAGCAAGATTGAAGAATGAGAAGGTCCCTGAATGCTCACTGTGAATGATACCATAATATTTTAATTTACTGTTATAGTTACCTTTCACATGAACAATACCATAATATTTTAATAACTAGATGCATAGTCCCCGCACAAGCGCGGAGGTTGGATACATTATTGATGTGTTGTGTAATTTTGTGTATGAGACTGTGCTGTTTTTTTTTTAACATTTGTTTATCTGGCTTATCTATAATGGTGATGAATGAAACATTAGAAGTCACACAACTTGATTAGTCTGATAAAAGAATAAACATCAATTTTATATGGGTTAATATTTTCATATTTTATCTTCGTAGTGATTTTATCGAGCATTCCCTTTATTAGTGATTTTATCGAGCATTACTGTTATTAGTGCTTTCATGTAAAAAAATAATTTAATGGAGACAAGACAAAAAAGGACATGTGTTTATTAGTGTAATTTTCTTTCTAAAATTGTGTTGTATATATATATAAATTTTTTTTTAATTGTGATGTATATGAGATTTATGGCCAATCTGAATGGTTCGGGGTAAATATTTATTATTGAAAAATATGTTTTTATTTTATTTGATTATTATAACTGAATTGAAATGATATTGGAGGTTAGAACATGATAACATTTCTAATAAAAGTATCTACCAACAATCAGCATAAAAAATCATTCTTAATCTCCCTAAGTTTTTAGGTATCCCGAAAAGCCCAAATTAAAAGAAAAATTACATGCAAAC